GGCAGATAGTCGGTGGACAAAAGCCAAGGGTGGTCAAGCTAAGACCTGGCATGGGGGTATGAAATCCCTAACCAGGTGGCTGGCTGACATCGGTCGTGTTAGGCTACCTGGCTGGGGATCCCGTGGTCCTGGTCATTGATGGTTAGAGAAACCGAGCCATATTGGTGGGTGTGAAACTGGAAACCCACAAACGGCGTCCTTGTTATAACTTTATTTGTTTGCCTTTTACCTAATCCCAATATATGTAACACGTATTTGTTTAGTGGACACAAATCCATTGCCCATAATGGTACGCTCAAGAGTAGTGCTCATCGGTTATGCATCTTGGATCTTGACACGTGGCAGTTCTTTCTCCAATCCGCCAAGTGCCCGGTCTTCTGAAGTATTGGTGGAACCGTTTCTATACCGAACATCTTTCTCGTTTATTTATACAGACCCTGATGTTTGCTTATTGCCATCAGCTTCCCGGATTCTGGCACTGCTTCAATCTGGGAGTAGGCCTCGGCTAAGTTGGTTTAGGCTACCTATTTGGTATCTGAAGTTTCGTTGACTTTATCCTCTGGTGTAGTCAACGGGTAAAAATCTGATACGACTATCACATCTAAATCATAAAGAGAAATCAGGTCAAATGTGTATCGTGCTGTCGAACGTAATCACAACGACCTGAAGAACTACTCATTTAATAAACATGACATGCATCAAGGCGTCCAGTTTCTTCACACCTTGCTACCCTTCAAATTCGAATTTTTATGGGTAAATTACAAAGCGGATGCTTATTGCATCCCATAGGGTCTGTACACTGGGTTCGGTTGGTAGTACAATTGAACAACAAATTCTGACGTTCACTCATGAGTACTGAAAAGTCAGGTGGTTCAATGCTTCATCCAGTCGTGACTTGAATGAATCGATGGTTGGTGCACAAACAACTTGAGGTGGAAGAGAGTTCCAGGTGTTACAAACTCTCAGGCTGAAAGAATGGCGCCTGTAGTCTAGCCGGCTCTTTTGGAGCAGAAGTTTAAACGGATGTCCTCGGAGGTGACCATTCCTGGATAATGTTAGTAGAGTACTACACGGGTGGTTAGGTTGATGTAGTATTTGATAAACGAGGATCATTTCTACCCGTATTAGACGGTATTCAGACGAATAGAGTCCGAGAATTCGCAACGTTTCACCGTAAGTCTTAGATTATAACCCTTTGACCATTTTGTTTGCTGTTCTCTGCGGACGTTCGAATCAACCATGGATTCTTTTACAGTCACGAACAAGCTAACCCGTAGTTAGCCCGGAGAACAAGACACAGAACACGTGTAGTCCAGAGTACGTAGCTTTCCTGAATGGATGATGCGTCACGTGACAATCTACGATGGGACAATGGCTAACAGGTCAACCAATAGGAATGAGTTGTGGGGTCTGTGTGCGTGTGCAAGCGAGCGATAGCCCGCATGTGTGCATGTGTGTGTGGGTTAGGTAAACACTGGTCTTCGTCTGAGAGAAGCACCGGCGAGTGGGACGGAGAATTGGTGGACAGCACAATTGACGTTGGCATGTGTCACGGTCCTTTCCCCTTTGTATGATTAGACCTTATCCTGCCTGATATCTGTCCACTGGCCTGGATTCTCTGCTTGCTCGGCGGAGAGTCTGTTCAGGTGCTGAGTCCTCATGCTGGAATCTGGAATTATTCTCAATGACAAGTGTCGTTTCGTCTGGTTTATCCCGGGTACATGTCTAGCACGAACTTGGTCGTTATGGCGTGTCACTGTTCTTCCGTCCGAAAGCTCAATTCCACTTGGCTGGCCGTTAGTGTACCTCAATACACCCGGCTCCCAAGATGGCTCACGTGGTAATTTCGTGTACACTAGGTCGTCTTCTTCAAATTTCCTGTGTTTGGCTGAATCCTCATATCTATCTTTCATTTTTCCTTGTTTTTCCATGATATCAGCTCTTGGTTCTCGAGAAACGAGACTCAGTCTCGTTCGTAGTTTACGTCCAAACATTAGTTTCGCCGGACGTTTTCCCATGCTTTCTGTTGGGGTTGTGTGATATGACAATGAGAACCTCGCCAATTGGGTCCTTATCGTTCCTGATTGTTGTTTCAGTAAACCTTGTTCGACGGTTTGAACGGCTCGTTCCGCCAGCCCATTGGAGGCTGGATGGTAAGGGACAGTTCTGACATGACGTATGTCATTTCTCTGGACGAATTGTTTGAACTCTGCGCTGTTAAACGGAGTACCGTTATCGGTCACCAGAGTCTGTGGAGTACCGAATCTGCTGAATAATATACGCATGCAATTTACTGTAGTCCCCGAACTGGCGTGGGACACAAGATAAATTTCGATCCACTTTGAATGTGCATCAATCATCGGTAAAACATGCAGTTGTCGAGCGGACCAAAATAATCTGCATGAACCCGCTGCCACGGTTTTTCGGGCCTACTCCAAGGACTCAGAGGAACTGGTGATGCATTCCTTCGTCGACATACCTCACATGTCCGGACAAGGCGGTCAATATCTTCATCCATCTTAGGCCACCAAACATAATCTCTGGCTAGTGATTTCATCCTGCAAATGCCTGGATGCGCTATATGTACCTCTGCGAGTATCTGGGGTCGTAAGCTAGGT